GGTCTAAGAGGAGAAGCGGTAATGGTGACTTGAACCCAAGTCACCCTTCGGAGCCAACGGAGCCATATGAGACGGGTCGGGACTAAAACCATGAGTACTGCCAGCGTACACGCTGGTGGTACTAATGAAACCCATATTAAATCTGTGGATAAAGCACATTTTAAGTGAGTTGAAAGCTGAGAATGTGGGTTTGTTTCACAAAATGTCTGAAGACATTTTTAAGCTAATCTATTAACCTACAAAGATTTAGCTGACTATAAGCTGTGTTTTACAAACAATAAAAATGGCGAGATTAGCATATTGGGGCATGTCAAATAATTTATTGTGGGTAAATCTTTCTTAAGAACTCTTACAAAGAAGTACTTTCAGATATTCTTTCAGTAATTTAAATAGGCCCCTGATGACATTTTGTTAGCGATGTATTAGATATCCCCCAATACTTAATCAAGTCTACATTGTAAATCCCAAAAATTCTTACCTTCATCTGAGTAACAAATAACGACTGGATGTCTTTAAAAAGAGGAGAGCAAAGACGACATGCAACAAGACCCCTCATCTTGCACCTGAGATTCTGAAACAAACAATTGAAATTAAATTGTGAATAACAGGTTATTTTTCCAAATATTCTAGTTGCAGTAATCACACAACATCACAAGCAGCAGATCAAAGCTCACTTATTACACAACAAATATATTTAAATGCATTTATCCCTAAAACAACAGCCTCAGCACCAGTAAAAGATTGTCAACTGTCTCCTCACTTTTAGTTGCGCCTGTCTACGTAACACCCACAAACATCCACAAATGAGCACAAGTGCCACAAGCATAAAATGTTTAGGAAATAAGTAAATATTTGCAAGTTTGCATTAGAAGGTATTGTAATTTGGAAAACAGTATATAGTGTCCTTATATGTACTTAGCAGGCCTACTGAACAATAAGAGAGAGAATATGGTTGTGTCCACAAGTGCCGTTGGGCACAAACAGTTGAAAAAATCAACAATTAAACACACTTATCATACAACGTATTTTGTTCATATTTCATAATAACACTTGCTATTATTCACACCTTTTGTTTGTTATAACAATGCCATTATTGGTGAACATGCAAAATATTGTTTTTGGTTCTTTGCTCTGCTACTACGGGCACATGCATGCTTCCATTTTATAGGTGCGTCCAACCATATTATGTTAAACTGTCAATCTTCCTACTATTTTATGCCTGTGGATGCTTGAGGTCACTTGTCTGTACTTATGGACAAAGCTATTTTCACTGTTATCCTATATGCTGTTTTTCACAGTATCTTTTTTACGTAATATATATCCAACCATTTTATGCTTGTGGACCTGGTGATCCTTAAAGAGATAACAACTGTTCATTTTGGCCAAAAAAAAAAAAAAAAAAAAAGAAATATCCTGGGTAAAACAACAATTTCCCCATACTTATAAATGGTTAATGAATCCATTTCTACATTCAAAGTTAGTCCCTGTTTTTTTTGTTTTTTTTTTTCTCTAAAAAGTTTGTTTTTTTGTAATAATCTCTTAAGAGATTATTACAGAGTATGGCCATCTTTGGAGATCACATGGTCAGATGGCAAGTACAGATTTCAGAATAATTGCTTTAACTGCCGTTTTTGTGGTAAAATAGAATATATTATATTTCTATGAGTTGCTTACAATATTTTTATTGTAAAATTTAGATTTCATACGAATAGTTGCTATCCCTTTAAGTTGACTGCCAGACCGCTTTTAATTCTCGATAAATAATGATTACAGTAAACTGAAGTTCTTTTGAACCCCACCGACCCCCCTGTTTATGTATATAAACCGTATATAATTTTGCCAAGGCATACATTTTGGCCTAGACTCCCCAAAAACTGAGGTTGAACAGACTTTTTGCAAATGGCACTGCCACAGTGCACTTATTGAGTGGGAATAAGTAGCCAAAGAAATTCATGTCGGTTTAATTTGAATTAACAACAATCTATAACTCTTAACAGTTATGGTTGCTAAGTCTGACTTACGAGGGTTTCCGGACGCTAGGTCTCTCCCCCTTCTCGTTTTCGATCTCCTGAAAACACCGGAAGCATGCTCCAAAATAGCACAGCTACGGAGAAACGAAGTTAATTACCACATATTTTTAATACAAAATTTGAAATATACAAAGCAGTCAAAACCGATTTAAATAATAATCACTTCTTTCTTTTTTGCCAAATAAATAAATATAAATTCTTCTGGTTAACACTATTTTGTATATTGTGTTACGGAGAAACCGGGGACTCGGAAGTACAGGAAAGATGGTAAGTTGTAGAGGGTCCAGCGATAAGAGTAGAAACCAATCTAGATTCAAGTGTGCATAAACTGTGAAACACAGTGGCTTGAAACGTCTAGTTATATCTAGATAGTTTTAACCATGCACTACCAGTGGGAATGATGTAAACCTATGGGGGTGGGTGGATTTAAAGGCACGATTTAAGCCCCCCCCCCCTCAAACACACACACCTCCCGCCGCAATGTCACTTTTATGTGGCCAGTCAAATACAGCAAGGTGATTAAAGATGGATGACTGTGGTATTATGTGTATCGTTTGATAAACAAAGAAAACAATAAGATAAATAAAGAAAAAAGATGCAATGAAGCAGCCTCATTAAGTACTGTAGAATTGGGGCCGTAGCAATAGTCCGAAGGTTCAATAGTCCGAAGGTTCATTGGTCCGAATGTTCACTACAGAACCTTCGGACCAACGAACCCTTGATTAAAAAACCGATAAAAATGTTACCGTTTTTCGGACCAATGAACCTTCGGACCAATGAACCTTCGGACTATCGAGACGCCCCCGTAGAATTAGTTATATTTACAAAACATATTCATATTTCAGAGGTTCCATTTCTGTGGTGACTTGGACTGCCCTGACTGGGTGCTGGCAGAGATCAGCATACTAGCAAAATTGGTAGGTCAATTACATGGGAGAGCCAAGTGCAGTGTTTTGTGTCAATATGATGTACCTGTATCTTGATAAAGGAATATAAGACATTACTTTCCATACTACGTAAAGTTAATCAAATTCAAAAGACAGTGATGTTTTTCTTGTTTATGACCATAAAGGGATAATTACTCTTCGTATGAACTCTTCATATGAGACTCAAATCTCCACAATAAAAAATATTGTAAAGAACACATGGAAATAAAATAAATGCTATTTTAATTACCAACAAAATGACAGTTATTGTAATTATTCTGAAATCTGTGCTTGTATGGCACCAGACCACATTGACCTTCATAGAACATTACCCTTGTTATCACGTTATCACAAATCCACACTCTTTATTAAAAATCGACTGGGTTTGAATGTCAGAACGGATTTATTAACCATTGGTTACTGTAGGAATATTGTCGTTTTCCCCAGGAAAATCTGTTATTGAAATGTTGTTATCCCTTTAATACTTGATCACAATATGACAGACAATTTGTTTGGAAAGTTTCTGTCTCTAACAACATTTGTTTTTATATTTCGGAGCAGTAGCCAGTCTTGAAATAGTCCACTGAGTGAAGGAAATGTAATGAATATGACAGGTGACATCAGAAGTAGAACACCAACTCATTCTATTTTTTGGTGAAAAAAATATTGTTTGTATTTGTTTGTTTAAAATCACATAATTTTACTTATGCATTTATTTTTAGACATCTATCAAAATGAAACTGCTGTGTGCACAAGTGATGAAAGATATGCTTGGAAGTGGAATTGACGTGAGTGTTAATCTCAAACAGCTTCATTTCTTATTCTGGATTTCTATAAGAGAGCATTTTAACCATGCAGGCCTGTTTTTTTGTCTTGCAATAAATATTGCAGTGCTCAGTTTAAAACAAATGTCCGGAGTGCTGTTTCTTTACTTTTGACATCAAATTGATAATGCCAATGTATATGATTATTGGCAGATGCTGAAAAGAATCATACAAAACTTTTGTGTTAAGTAACAATTCTCATTGATAAGAATCACTTACTTTGGAACAAAGTTTTCTGTAACAGCTATGGTTCACCCTATTCAGCACAGCATGATATGGGTGAATGACAACAGGTCTTTGGGATTTATTTGACCTGTGAACAATTTCACTAGGGGTTGCAATCAGTGAAATGGCTGCAAATTTATGTAAGCAAAATTCTGTAACCATATAGATCTATTCTGTATTTGAGTGGTAATTTGCTTAGTTTGATGGTTGCTAACTTCTATACGTTAATGCCAGGAGAATTAGTTTGCCTTTTTTTATTACAAAAATATTTCAAGTAGTCCAAATTTCTACATATGAATGAGATAGGAAGTTTTTAATTATACTTTTGGCCTATTTGTTTTGGTGAAAATTTGATCAATCTGCTTAAAATTACATTGTTACATTAGTCTTATTTGAAAGATGATAAAGCAGCTTTTTATTTTTTATTATATTTAATGTTTTATTTAGAAGATCACTTTGCATTTCAGTATGAAAAAGTCTATAAGCTCACTACAGATGCAAAATTTGGTAGGTATAGTTTTGTTATACTTAAAGGCATACAATGTGTGTTATATAAGACCTTTTTGTAGAGAAGAAATGGATTTTTAAAAATATCTAAAATTTTCCCTTGATTGCCAATTTGACATGCCCTTCCAAAAGTTCTGATAATGACAATATATTGGCGCATTTTCAAGTTTTTGATTTATATTTTAACAATTACAAGAGAAATTCACCAGTCTCCATCTCTGTTACAAAATTGAATCAAAGCAACAAAAAAAAAAAAAAAAAGATAAAAACTTAGATCTTAAAAATAATTTCATAGAATAGAATTTTGTCATTGGGTTTGGGTATTGTCTACCTTGCAATTAAGGGGGAAATGTTAAATTTCCAGGATTTTTTTTTTTTTTTCATTTTTTATTCCATAAACTTGGGTGGGAGTCAAATTTTCTAATGTGCCCTGTTTGCCTTTAACACAATGTCTATATTTCTCTATACAAGCAACAGGAGCATTAAAAATTTTGTCTTGTCTCACCTACCACAATCCTCCAGATTTTATTATGTCCAAAGTTCCACCTGGCAATGTTGACCTTGATTTTTTGTCTCATGAAATAAAAATGTTTAAAAAACGTTTGATCAATAAACAATGTATTTTTGTTGCAACGTACAAGTTTATTACAGAAAATAGTGAAGATTATATAACATTTATTAAATCACACATATTCACACCAAATGGGAAATACTTGTTTAAGTTAGGTTTGAAATTGAAATTGGTATATTTGCTAACATTGATATCTGTAATTATCAGCAAGTTATTGGACTAGAACCATTAAGGGAAAAAGCGGCCTTAATGGTGACTTTTATGTACATTTAATATTTCTACTATTTGTTATGTAAAATATGTCAAAATCTCTTTGACAGTCTAAGGACAGTGACCAGGGGCTGGTTTTACAAAAAAATTTCCTCAAAAATTTATTACAACTTTCGGACCATAATTGTGGTCTATTTGAGTTCAAGAAAAAACTAATAGTAGTCCGAGGAAATATTGGACTGGGGCCATATTCTCGAAAGGTTTAACTTTCAAATTCTTGTAATTTTTCATGAAGTCCGATCATTTGTAAGTTACAAAGTTTCCAGAATACTGCCCCAGAGGTATTGGACTTTACTTTGTTGTTTAATATTTACAACAGGTGCAATTTTTCACTTATTTTGACTACTACTGATTTATCTTTGGTCTAAAAGTGCAATTTTCAGGATAAATGAATTTTGGGAAACAAGCCCTAGGTCATATTTTTAATTAAAAGTCGAAGGGACTTGACTGACTTTCTCCTTGTTGATATTCCAGAGCTTGGTGACGTGAAAGCAAGTATTGCTGCCCTGACCTTTATCTTCTCTAGTGCAGCCAAGTATAGTGTTGAGGGGGAGGCTTTGTCCAATGAATTGCAGCAACTTGGCTTACCAAAAGGTGATAGATATTTATTGCAGTGCTTGTGATATTGACATAACCATTTGTTGAGAAGAATTGGTAATTGCACACTAAATTTGAAGAAAAAAGGTTTATTGCATTTGCTAAATTATTGATTTGTGACTAGCACCTGAAAAATATTTTATGTTTATGTCTTCCTTTTCTGTATAATGATTTTATGATCTTGTTTTATTTTAATTATTTTTCAAAAATCAGAAATTCAGAGCAAAAACTAAGCAAGATGTTTGCTTTGCAGTAAAGCAATGATTATTAAGAAAGGAAAGGGGAAAAATAAGTTAAGATTTCTACATTTGAGTAACCCACACCACAGGCTTATCACTTATCACTTATCACATGTTTCATTCTAATTAGCAGCTGAAGGCTTTCATTCCCCATGGGTTTTTATCTGTGTAGGATGCTAGTCTATAGTGAGCTTTTTTTCCAATAGTTTTTCACCGGATCCGTACTCTTATAAGATGAAACCATTTTCTGTGGCAGCATATTACTACAGTTGTCCTGGGATCTAACACAGAACTAATGCCTTTGGTTATTTATGTAAGATGGTGTTTTTGTGTTAAGTGTACTGTGTTGCGTAACTCGACTCTCTCTTTTATTTTGCACACAATAGTTTTTCTTTGCAATGATTATTATAATAAAAGTAAAAAAAAGATGCATTCTAGGGCACATTCCCAATGAAACTATTGTTTAAAGTAGATTGATCCAACTCTACAGGGGCTCTCGCTGAATGCAATCAGATTAACTGATTGCACGCCTTCTCAAGCAGCTAAGAAGTGATTATATATATATTCTTTATGGTCATGTGATCTAACACAAAACTTATATCTTGGATTATTTATGTCAAATGGCATTTTTGTGTTTTTTGTAGTCTGTCGCCCTCGCAACTTTTAAAAACACTTTTATTTTGTGCACGATAGATGCATTTAAAAGTTGCCTAAATAAAGGATTCCTACATATGAGTAATCAACAAGATATTATACAGGCTAGTACTTATCTCTTGTTTCTATTCTATTTAGCAGCTCAGGGCTTTTATTCCCCCATGGATTACTTGTACAAGTAGGATACTGGTCTACAGTGTGTTTCTTCTCAATTGCTCTTCACCGGATACTCTTATAAGATTAAACTCTTTTTCTGTGGCAGCATATCACCAAGAGTTAGTTAATTGTCTTGGGACCTAACACGGAACTAATGCCTTGGGTTATTTATGTCAAAGGGTTTTTTGTGTTAAGTGTAGTCTGTTGCCCTCATAACTTGCACTCTCTTTTATTTTTGCACAATGATTTATTGTCTGTGTCATTTAATGTTTAAAATGTGCTGGGTATAGATTATTGCAGAAAGGTAGTGCAACAGTAAAAGCTTCTTTATAATTTTATGATCAGCACATCAGATAAAAACTGTTGTTAATAACTGGTCTACTAGATTCATGTATCATGATTTTTTTTTCTTTTTTTCTGATTAAAAGAAACATCTTTGTTGTGGTATATGGTGTTGTGCAACTGACAGTTCTTGTTTACAGGGGTTGAAAACTGGTATTACTAAGATGCCAGAAAATGTTGCATTTTTCCCATTCTTCATGACTGGATTGTCTGGACAGCAATTGCAGATATGATTTTTTGTGTGTAGAAAGTAATAGTGGCACTAATCTGTATTGTGTTTTCTTGGCAACTTCCAGAAATGGGAAAGGTTCATGATAAAAAGGGATCCCAGATGATTACTCTGAAGATTTTGCAACTAACCATTTAGATACTACAGATTAGCATGGAACCCATAGAATAATCCAAACACAATCCTGTTATGAATCCCACACATATTTGTCAGAGTGATTTTCACAGTTGACTGTTGGACTGTGAACTGTATGCCTAATTCCACAAAAAAAGATTTAGCAGTTATTCTGCAACATGGTTCCCTGTATAATACAATGTAGTTCTCAACAGGCTCAAAATTTAACTGCATAGACCCAAATTTTCTCAACAGTTTGGAATGACACATATACCTTGTTGATTGAGGGAAATTGTTGAAATCTTTCAGTTTTTTTCCTCCATAAAAACCAGAGACACATTGTCCTAAAGGAGCAATTCCTGAATGCAACATAGCAGATTATTTGATAATTAGTTTTGATGCCCTAGCTGCCATCCCATTTGAGTCTCATGCATCTGGGCTTCAGGTTTATATAGCCATTTCCCATTATTTTACCACACACACACAATTTGGATCTAAACAAGGAGACCCTAGCATGAAAACCATCTCTGGGAGCAACCGCCTTGTGTATTGATACATAGAATGTCACTTTGTCCTTCTTTTATCGGGAATTTATTTTCACAACTGAATAATTAATTCAAAATCCATTTTGTTCAGGGCACAAAAAACTATGGCTTTATAATGTTAAGTCTTTTTTTTTTCTCTTATGGGAAGTACATGGATATTTTTAGAACCCAAATATTGTGTACTGTTTGCCTAAGGACATGCCAGGCTGTTGTCATGTGTTCCACTCTCTGTGATATTTTTAATGATTGAGACAACCCCTCATTGATGTAAATTTTTCTTTTTTTTATCTTTAAGTCCAGATTAAATCACCTACCAGGGCAAGCTTTAGATAAATTGCAATGTTCTTGCTTAGAGATAGGATTAAGACTAATTTTTCCTCCCTATGGAACAATCAAAGGCACTTAGGAATGATTGCACATGTTCATACACAATTTGGTCATGTGTATGTGTTCTGCTGAAAAGTGACAACATTATTCTGTAATTTGAAAGAACATTCTATGTTTGTTAAAAGTCTGTTCTATTTCTCATAATATATCAACTGCCAGTAATCCAGCTGGAATACCACAGTGTTCAAAGATACTTCACAACATCTACAAGATAACCTTTAAGAAGTTTTAAAGTTACCCATTCTAACACACATCTGAAGTCATAATTTTTGTTGCATAACAGTAGTTTAACATTTTTTTCTGTTGTGTAACAGTGTGATGCTTAGGTGTTGATGTCTAATTAGTTAAGCCATATTTCTTAAAACATAAAAGATCAGGTGTGTTTTTCAGATAGTAAGGTTGGACACAGAAATGTTACAAAAATGCTTAACTATAGTACAAAATATTTAACACCATGCATATATGCAACAAAAAGGAAGATATATTCTTATTTGTACAATTGTGTTTGTTATTTGTTATCATGTACAAATGATAGATGGAGCATAATTATACATTATTCATAGATTTAATTTCCCTAATCAAACCCCTCTTGAAATATGACCTTGTTTTATGTTTAAATTAAACACCTAGTTTGCAGTTAGCCATCTTACACAGTGGTGGGTAATTTAGACAAAGTTAATAACAATCATAAGAGTGAGAGAGGGGCCATTAATATTTACTTGAAAGATGTATTTTATTGTTCCAGCTCTGTCACCATCATGTTGCTAAAGACTGAGTTTTCAAATATTCTCGATATGCATTTCACAATAATTTCACATTTTCGTACTTGTGATGTAGAACTCAGAAACAAAGAATTGAATAGATCAAAAGTTATTTGACACATTTTGTATTCATGCAAGAAGTGAAATGTGATTTCAGCTACATTGTATGTTTCTTTTTGAGTTCACAGCAGTGGGTATTTTGTTTTATTTTCTATCTCAAGGCGTGTCCTAGTATTCAGAATCAGACACAAAAAAACACCATGTACAAATGATAGATGGAGCATAAATATACATTATTCATAGATTTAATTTCCCTATATGTTCTGTTTCATAATCAATAGCAGTATTATATATTTCAATTCAAGTTTTTTTTTTCTGTACCGTTCAGATCAGCTGCTGGTATCAAATTGAGTACAATTTTAACAACATTGAAGTTATGAGAGTGTCAAAAAAAAAAAAAAAAAAACACAAAATTCTCATAAAAGAATAATTAATGCTTTAATTATCAATGAAAACTTTTTCTTTCTTCTGGAGACTTTGACTTCTCAACTAGGTTTTTCTTTTTAGTTGACACTATTTTGTTTCTCATGCCTCTCATTGGCCACTGTTTTCTATGTATAGACACTGTACATATATGTAGCCATCAGCTGCATCTGACATTGCCGTGTACTTCCATTTTTTTTTTTTTTTTTTTTGCATTTAGTAATGAGACGTGTTATAAATATTTACATTTAAGAGATGAGAAATGTTTGGGGGACATGGCATCAAGTACACAGTTTAAATTTGCTTTATTCATTTCAGTAAGATTGATAATTGAACAAAATGACACATAAAGCACATGTACCCGTAGTTCTTGTATTTTGGTAAATTCAGCCAACAAACATGAAGTACCACTTAATTTGTTTTATTTCACTTACCACAGATGGAGCCCTTATCCTTGCACATTTATTTTCAATAATCCGTTATATATTTATGAAATCTCAGTATTATTACAGTAATTAGTCTTTTAAGTAAAACCATGATCACACTTGACAGTACATAGTACTAGAAATAAATTTTGCAACTCTCTTGCGCTTATTATAAAAAACAGCCCAAATTCTCATGACTTAACATATAATCAAGTGAGATTTTGTAGGATTTGGAAGAGAGTAGGTTCAGATACAAAGGCAGACTACATTACAGAGGTGTATGTAGCTAGTGCTGAGAGAATTTATCCACCGCTACAATGTGAGTTGACCTTGTTTTTGTGTACCTTTTGTATCAGTTTTTAAGACAACAGAGAGTTTTATCATTATTGTTGAAAAGTTAACCTAACCTCACATTTTCTGTCACATCACACTATGTCAAAAGCCTTGTTTTATGCTATCTTGGATGATTTCCATTCTTGGTATTTATACATTCATTCATTTATGTAGAGGTCTAGCTGCTGTTACAATGCTTTATTACATTAATATAGTGAAAGTGCCATTTAATGGAAAAGAGCACTATTAACAAATCAGCCGATCCACATAGAGAGCCTGCTAAACATTAACAAACCATTGTATTTTAGAAAATTATCACTTATTGAGTGCATTACCTCATGCTGCCAGTTCACATTAGTAAACAGTGTGCAGAATATTTTGTCATCTGTAAGTTCACGAAGCATTCAAGCTAAAAAAATCATGAAGAATTTGAAGTTATTTTTTTTAAGTTAGGGTAATTTAAACTTCTGTTTATCGTTTGCAAATATAATACAGTGTTTATTTATTTATTTATTTATTTATTTATTTATTAAATAGATGGGTGATAATTATTTTGTAATTTTGTCCTACACTTTTGATAAAAAGTAACAAAAACTTCTAAATCCTTTGAAATTTTGCTTGATATTGCTGCTTTTGCCAGTTGAATTTGCTCTCTTTTTCAGAATGTAATTCTATAGTAGACTTTTTTATCAGACAGTATATGTATAATTTGCTGAAAAGAATGACCTGTAGCATCAATGGATTTGGTAGATAATTATACTGGTTCATTACTATAATCCTTGGGGTTCAATTACATGGAGAATGTGCCATTGCATTATCACAACTATACACTAATGTTAAGGAATGATTGAAAAAATTATCTAAAGCACCCAGATGACAAATTTTGATGAATTATACAAGAGAATGTTGATGCATCCTCCATGCTTTTAAGTGTTTGAGCCCATGACTGGGACCATAAAAATGGAGATGATGTACAACTGAAACTTTTAAGCCTAATACTAGTATATTGTGCAACTCACCTCTACCAGTGACACTACATGTTGTTGCTTTAAAAGAAGAGGGTATTGTCCATTTTCTATTCAGCAAATGAAAGCTTCACCTCTTTTTATTACTGTAAATGATATTATTTGCCATCTTTAACCGGAAATATTCCTCACTTTGTGGCTACAAATTACTAGTTGACTGGCAAAGGCCTCTGAAAAAAGTTTGAATACCAAAAAATGTGTTGGACACGGGGTTTTGAATGCTTGAGTAAGGTGAAGTTGATAATGGGTAGTTAAGGCATACAGTGCGCATTGGACCTTCATACACATGCCAAAATATTTTTCCTGGAAATTTCAGCTTATTCCCCTTTATCACCAAGGTATATATCCAAAATTTGTTGAGAGAATTACAATTTGTGAACCTATTTTCTCTTTCTAAATTCCTGATCTTTACAGTCATAAATGAAATTGACCAGTCTCTATCTCCATTACAAGAATTATCTAAAAAAACTAGAAACTGAAATCATAAAAAAACTTGTTAATGGATCATAATTCTCTGAACAATTTTAGATAAGGTATACTTTGGTGATTAAGGGAAAGGTGGTGAAATTTCTTAGAAAATTAAATCTTTGACTAATGCCATCACCAGGAGTAATTTTCTGGGACAAGGCCATTTAAAACAGGCCAGTATATTGACTAACTGGGGACAGAAACTCATTTCCTAGTCTGTAAATTATATATGTTACATGGCCCTCAGCTTCAAATTTGTTCTCCCTGTCCACATTTTAGCACTTTTATCACCATTTTTAGTTCTTGGTCCAGACACAGGTGTCTGTGATTGAGCGTAATTTAAAATCTCAGTCCTGACTTATTCTTAAGTATTGTCACTGATGATTTCCTTGAGACCAATGAAGTCAGTCCAGTAGGCCTTGTTGTTATTCCCAAATACCCAGTGTTACATTAAAATACATTGGTTAGTGCAGTATTCAGTTTTACATGACCCACTTGGGCTTTGTGAATTAAACTTGTCAATGAATGACCTAGCTAAGAGTCATTAGAGCAGACAACAACAGAACATCTCTTGAATAAAATTAATTTCTACAGCAAAGGATTAGAAGTACTAGTATTAGTGTGTGTGTGTGTGTGTGTGTGTGTGAGGGAGAGAGAATATGTTAAATCCCTGTATGCCTTCTCTAAATTTGTTCTTTCCCGCAACATCTCTTAAGTCCATGGTCACTATTTTTGTTGTAACTAAATGAAGTGAATTCTTTCTTTTCAGAACACTCAGTTGCTCTTTGTAAAGTGTACGAGGACAGTTTAGGAAAGTTGCAAGAGGAGCTTAAGTTTAAAAGTCTTCGATGTAAGTTAAGGACACTGCTTTCTCATAAATAAAACAAAGTAAAGAGGAATGTTAGTTGAAAATGGTCCCTGTTTTGTTACATTCCAACACAGCAGTGCCATCACTTGTGTCTTTCTATGTCACCAGAGCAAGAGCCAGACTGGAAGGTGGAACTGAAACCGTGCGTATTTCTTGGAATAACTGCTTCACAGTCAGTATCCCAGGTCAGGTTCAAAACTGGGAATGATATGATTATTTGTCATATTTGTATATATATATATATATATATATTTTTTTTTCAATGATAATTTTCAGTAAATTTGGCCATCTGGACACCATCATCTGGTTGATAACTCCATTTTGGCTGAAACTTGTTGGGGTTGCTTGTAGGCCTAAAATGCAGGTTTTATTGTAATACTTTCCCATAATATTAATTGGCTTCATAGAGCCTATATCATCCAGATATTAACTTTAACTGCAAGGCTTTCCTTTTTGGCCAAAATGCATGTAAGGTCCAAAAGCAGGCACGATGTGTTAATTTTTTACTTTTTTCTGATAATTTTGGTCTTGATTTACATTTTTTTGTGTATGTGTGCGTGTGTTTATTAGAATCCCATTTACTAAAGCTTAAATAGAAAGACTCTTATGCAGAGCTTAATTACACATGATGCCATGTATAGTTTTTTACCTTAAGATTCAAACTGAGAAATGTTGTCTGTTCATTTGTCAGCTTTTGTTCAGATTTCTAGGATTAGTTTATACTGTAGTGTCATTCAGACTCACAAACATCATATAGTTACTATTCCAATTAATTCTGTATTGCAGTATGTTTTTGATTTTGTCTCAACTTCTACCCTTCAAAATGTTTTTCATCTATTTAGAATGTGAGTGTATGAATGGTTAGCAAGGATTTATTAAATGCCTAGTTTAGTCACTTTTTCTCATATTTCCAGTGTCCCATTTAGAGTCTGCCCAGTGGAGAGTGGATTACGTGATAGGATCAAGCAAACTCAAGGTAAATAATTGCATCAAGATAATCACCCAAAGACAATTTAATTCAAATGGACTTTTAGGCACTCCCCTTTTTAATACATGATAGTTGTGTTTATGTACTGACACAGCGTGTCTGTACAAAAACTGCTTTATTGAATTGGTAATAAATGAATAAATAACCACATTTGCATATGTATCGGTTTCATCATTATCATCGTTGCTGTGCACTTTTCATTGTAAACCCATTGAATGAATAATATGTTACTTATTATCATCCTCAAACCTACTAGAATGATTTTTAGGACTACTATAGCTTTAGTTGGAAAACTAGCTTGATTGGATGCTTTTTATTGGAGTTATGCAATTTGTGTATTTTTCATTTTTCATACATATGTGTTCTCAATGTATGCCATAGAATCCATATGGCTTGAAGCACTTTGCTATTTACATTTCCTGAATGTCCATGTTACCTGTAATTTGTAATTAAATTTGGTGGTGATTATGCTTCTCAGCCTAATGTAATATTGTATCATAATTGACTAAACACCCCTGTTGTGTGCATTGTCATCGTAAATTTCTGCTTTAAGTCTGCACATTTGACAGCTTTGCTGCCATATTTTCTTTTTTTTTTCACACATAAAAGTTTTTGTTTAATGTACTTTGCAATGGTGATGGGATAATATAACAATTTTCTAGTATCTGTTAACCAACAAATTTGTTTTATTGAGCTGTCAATTTATGCTGTGTAATTGAAATGTCATTACAAAACAATTTTCTAGGTGACAAGTATGATTCAGATTCTAGGTAATAAACCACTGATATAATTTTCTGGTATTGTTTATGAGGTTTTTCTGAAAGGATATATGACTAAATCTTCCTGGGAAGCCCAGTGATAGGATAAATAAAGAAACACTTAATATCAGAGTTAAATTTAATATGCAGCTGATTGTATTGTCTTGTCCATGCACTTTATGATAAGCACATTCTTTTTCTTTTCTCTCTCTCTCTCTCTCTCTCTCTCTCTCTCTCTCTCTCTCTCAAGTTCATCCTTGTGAAGTAATGGTGTTCTTGGTTGAATGCTCTTTTAAAAACTCATTTATTTAGTTTATTTACCTTTATAGCATTTTGATACACTTCACATCCAGCTAAAAAGAGGAAGAAAAAAGTTTTTGCCTCTATCAATATTCTCCCCCAGAGACAATCTGGGTGAAAACATCATTTTTGTGCAAAAATTCTCACAGTTCAACTAGTCAATAGCCAGATAATTGTTTGTGAATATCTAGTGAAAAAAATTCTCTCTATTATGTGGTGGAAGGTATCCGATCAGTACTTCTCTTGTGCAAAATCTGGTTGGAAAACAAGTTTTATGAAATGCAAAAAAAAAAAAAAAAAAAAAAAAGTCAATGGCAGGTAAGAACTGTGGAATGGCCCTATAATGAAATGTATAGAACAAAAATTTTCACTGATACAAGTGATATTTGATTGTTTGTTTGTTTGTTCTTTGCCAAACAAACATAAATGAAAATTATCAAACACAAGCCGAAAAAAATTCATACCATTAGCTTACGGCCAACCTGGACGTAGGCCTTCATCAAACTGTAAGCAGATGTTGACACTCACTGACCGCTAGGTGGAATTGCAGCCAGGACCCTCTAATAAATATCAAGTAGATCTGGTAAGCTTACAGTATGAAAGTTTTCAGCTTGTGTTTGATAATTTTTATTTATGATTCAACTACCAAGCTAATGAACATTTTAGCTCATTAAAAAGTGTCTTCAAGTTTCTTTAGTCATGCTTGACGCTTCTATTGAAAAGGTTTTAAGCACCAGGGTATCCATTCTTCTTCAAAACCTTGGGCCACAAGGGTAACAGAGAAATTCAGATTAGGGGCTGGTTTTCCATCTTTGGCCCAAAGAATGGTTTAAGCTTGGTACATTATGGGTTGTGTCTGACAGGTCCAGATTCTAAGTTGTTAGACCAAAGAATTATCCTCATTTTGATTAAGATAAAACCCCAATAGTGCACTGAAGTAAATTATGTAAGTATTGGTCTGAAACATTTTGCCAGGTGTATCTTGATATTAAACAGACTCAAAATTTTGTTCGATTGTACCACTACTTCTGATTTTTTTCATGGGTCTCAAGAGACTGAAAATTTCAGACTTATTTTTTTTTTTTTTTTTTTTTTTATGTTAAACAGTCCATGGCTGCATATGGGTCTATACTTTCATGCTCATTATCCAGAGTTTGAGAGGACCAGTGGCAGTTCACATCTGTACCATCAGCATGCCTCTGCCACTTCTAGAATGAGTCCCAATCTCTTCTGAAACTCAGGGTGGTGTTCAAATGTCAAGAATCAATACTTGGGAGATTGAGTCAGAGAAACCAAAGTAGAGTGATTGGTCAATGTGATGTGGGTGGTCAGAGGGAAGTGGGCACTCAGGTGACTGTGGGTGGTCAGATCAATAAGGTTGTTAAGTAAATTGTAGAGGGAAGTGTCGGTGGTCAAGGTAATCAGAGTTGGCAGTAGAATGTTAGTGTCTAGTTTATTATAGGCAGGCAGTATAAGGGGTGGTCAATAAAGTTTTGTTTGCAATGAAATAGCATGGTCAGAACATAGTGAGTGATCAGTGTCTGAGGGGTGGTCATTACTATGTGGGTGGCCAGTACGATATGGATGACCATTACAATGTGGGTGGCTGGTACAATGTGGATGACCAGTACAATGTGGGTGCCCAGTGCAATGTGGGTGGCTGGCACAATGTGGGTGGCCAGTACACAGTGGATGGCCAGTACAATGTGGGTGGCCAGTACAATGTGGGTACCCAGTACAGTTTGGGTGGCCAGTACAATGTGGGTGGTTAGTACAATGTGGATGGCCAATACTAAGTGGATGAACAGTACCATGTATGTGGCCAGTAAAATGTGGGTGGCCAGTACAATGTGGGTGACTAGTACAATGTGGGTGGTCAGTTCAATGTGGATGGTTAGTACAATGTGGATGGCCAATACTAGGTGGATGACCAGTACCATGTATGTGGCCAGTAAAATGTGGGTGGTCAGCACAATGTGGGTGGCCAGTACAATGTGGGTGGCTAGTACAATGTGGGTGGCTAGTACAATGTAGGTGGTCAGTACTATGTGGGTGACTGGTACAATGTGGGTGACCGGCACTATGTTAGTCAAGAGGGGAGATCCAGAAATTTTTTTGACAGTTATCCAAATTATCTTTGTAGATCCATCCTCCTTAACTTTGAAGGTCTTCTGAAAAAAAAAATAGATGCCTGCTAATGTTAACTGAAAAATTCTGACCATTTTCTGGAAAACCCAGAAGACAGCTTCCGTCTGCCCTTGTTAGTGGTCAGTCCAATGTGGTAACCAATATATGGTGGGTTGCCAGTGCATTGTGACTGATGTGTGAATCATACTTGGTGTGAATAATTTAAAAGAAGAGAGAAAGATTCATTTGTTTCAGTAGAGAACTATCATGACTCAGATGACTGATGCATGGCCCACCTGTACCCTTTAGACAGTTAAGGATATTTGCTTGGGTATTATATATATATATATATATATAATCAGTAGTAAACTAATTTGACCCAGGTGAGTGATGCATGGCCCACCTGCAGACAACTAAAGATATTTGCTGGGGGAATATATATATATATACACACACACATACACACACACACACACCTGTATTTTAGACAATGTAGATTGATCACTTAAAACTCCTTATTTACTGCCTTACATACATTCTTTTGGGTAATAAATCAATCCTCAGTGTTCATTGACTAAATAAATTAACATTTACACATGTCATCTTACGGGTGAAATCATAATTGCGATTTTGGGGTAAAAATATTTAATATTTTATATTTTGGAGGGTTTTTTCATTGTTTTAAAACAGCACAAAGATAGATGCATTATAGAATAAGTAGATGCAGGAAAAAACTCATTTTGGGTATCTGGAAGATAAGAAAGGGTTACAATAATCTTTAGAAGTTCTTAATTCAGGTTCTCCAGCGAGGCATTTGCATGAAGGTCATTTTACCTTGCACTTTTCTGTTTGTTAAAGGGTTATAGTGCAATTAACAGTATACATGCACATGAACTTAAAGTTGTGTTTATAAGATATGTTGATAAACCACGTTAAGAGCATGTTAGATTGGTTGACTGCGAGAGCAAGATAATGCAGTTTGATACCAAAATTATCATCAGAGACAAGAATCTCTGTGGTTACTTTGATGAATTATAGCATTTAGTTGTGATTAAGTTATTCCAAACTTTTCACAGTTAAATAATTTAGATAATAATCTCAATTATGAGTCACCAACAATTATTTGATTTGTGGTACTTAGTATGCAGTGGATTAATTTGCAGCAATCATGGGATTTGTTGTATTTATGAGATGGGCCATGAGCAAGGCCCCTTAAAATCAAATTTTGTGCCTGTTCTGCGGATGCACATATACTGTAGGTTTCACTATAAAAATTAGACCCACTTTTTCAGTAAAAGACACCCCCCTTTAAAATTGCTAGCTTCATACCGTTGAGTAATGTGGTAAAAAGTTCTGCAAAGTTAATGCAGTTGATCTCAACTTGTTGCGACATTGCCAAATGCATTGACTCATGTGACAACACCTTAATGGTGATCTCATTTGACTTTCGTCTGACTTAAGGCAGCCAAAAAATGTTATTGTGTGGTAGGTTGGAATAGTGTCATGTCCTTTCATCTGTTCAAGTGCCTCTGAACCTTTTAGGAGAAGAATGAATTAAAATGATTGATTTTTGTCCAAACAATGAGCAATTTGCAAGCTCTCAATTCATCAGAGCTACGGATTAAATTGTAGCACTCAATAGCAACAATTTGCCAGTTGGAAAGCATTACTGCATAAAATTTTAATTCCTTCGTGATTGCCACTCGAACATTAACTTTTTATGTGAACTATGATAACAGTCCATTTGTAGATATTGTATCTGATTACGCACCATGGTGGTCTAAAAAAGATGATTAGTTTCTAGGTCACTGAACATTTGAAGCTCAAGTATCATCTACATAAAATACTATCATTTCATTATCCACTTTGGAAAATGGCACAGTTGCTGTTCAAAAATATTGATCTTTCAGTTGTAACTGCCTACAGTTTTCAATTTTTTTGAGTTGAATTCTATTTTAGCCACTCATAATTTTGACTTCAGATCTTTCTTCAAAATGGTACCATGTAGTCCATGTGTATTCTGGTCACTCTTTGTGCTGACTGCTTAACTTTGGGATTGTATGAGAGGGGGTGTATAATCAAGTCTCTGCTCCCTAAAATTAGGATTAAATTTTTTCCGTAATAAAATGGATCTAAATGTTTCCCACAAACAGCTATACATTTCCCTAAATAATAACCTGTATGATTACCACAAATGTATTAAGTTCATGCCTCTCTTTTATTCTTTTTTTTTCCTCTTGAATAGGAGCTGAATGAGCCTGCAGTTCAACTTCGATTGAAGATTAGGAACCCAGACACAGACCAAGTTGAACCAGTTGCATTTAACTTGAGTGCAGACAAATTCAGAGTATTTCTCAGTGGTAAGATACAGAAAGTATGCTTTTAAACACATTCGACTTCCCATTGTTAATATCAAATTATAAATTGCTCAATTGCCACTTTGACCGGTGAATTGATTTGCAGTCCTTTAAGGCTTGTTCATATTGATGATGCCTTTAATTAAGACCAAGGGGAGTTATATATGTCAGAGAACAAGTTTACTCTCTCTCAAAGGTCTTCTATACTAGCTGTTGCAAAATTGTATAAAAGACCTCTGTCGGATTTGAGATGATAAAGCAGAACATGTTCCTCGCAAGACATTCCCTTTGTAAGTTACATAGGCTGAAACGGAATGCCATTGGTCACATGGTACAGGAGGGTTTCAAACCAGCCGTGTAAGTTTGTCTAGAGGTGAGGCAGTTACATAAGAGTAAACAGCTTGATCATCTCAAATCCCACAGAGGTCTTCTCTATGATTTTATGACAGCTCTTGTTAGGAGACCTCTGGTAGAGAGTGGAACAAGTTTTGGTTGAAAAATAATTGAGATAATTTTCTCTTCTATGATTGTAACTGGTCTGTAACTGGTCTTTGCATTGTATCAGAACTGACATAAATGTTATCTGCAGTAGCACTAGCTTGTGTCTCAGAGACATGTAAAATGTGTCCTTCATTTTTTCATGACCCAAGTTTTTTGTTACTTTCAGAATTAAAGCAAGCACAAACTGCCATGGAAGGTCTCTCTTGATGCAAGCAATGATGTTACTAAAACCAATGTTTGCCTTGATAGTCATTCAGCACATGGTTTTGGAATGATACATAAAAAAATCTTATCAAAAGAAACATATTTACTGACCAATTGAGGTGTGATCATGTGTGAGGTGATATAAACACATCAAAAATTCTCTTCACGCCTGTGAAAAAACTGTAATTCAGCTGATTGAAGGAGACCTGCATTGCAATAATGAGATCTGAAGCACTTCCTGTGAACTAATGAAAAGGAAAACAGACGTGTGACAGCTTACATGGAGTGGAAACCTTATTCTAGTTCTTGCTTATCATGCAAGGGAAAGGTTATGTCCTCTGTGCCTCATTTGATCTTAAGTGCATCTTGTTAATCTGAGAGAAACACCTATTTAAATCATGCAAATGATTCAAAGAATCATATAATTAATTGTAATGTAAATAAATACCTAAAACAGAAAAGAGCATTAATTGTAATGTAAATAAATACCTAAAGCAGAAAAGAGTGTATGTGTAAGCTGGGCCTCAGTAATTATTATTATATTTCAAATACACTATTGAGGACACAAAAGGATGATACAGAAAAAGGAATCAATGAAGATGATGAATATACATTTCTTCCATATTTGAAAATAAAGATAGAATAAAATTTAGGCTTATAAACATTACAAATGTTATACTCGCTTTTTAAAAGATGTTTGAAATGTGATAGTTGAACATTTTTGAAACAATAATACAGACGAGGAGAATTTTGCTTTTTTTTTCAGTTTCTAACTAAACATAATTCTTTTCTTGGTTACTTGGTTTTATATCGCCATGAAATGAGAAATCACACATTAAGACAGTTTTTTAATAAACCCAAGTGGTACTTCCGATACGCTTGTGTTATCAGGACATAAAAAACCCCAGTTGATGATACTTTTAATACACATGCTTGCAAATTTTATTTATCACATCGTTACCTTTGTTTTATGGGTTCCATGGATATTTCATGAATATTTCAGTGTCTGGAAATGGTTTTTGCTGTGAAGCAGATTTCCGCCACTGGTGGTTAGCCAAGCAACCGAAGGACACGTTGACAAGCAAAGGGCCACAATGACAATTTAGCAGATAATAATATACCAACAGTCTCATTTTTCTTCACAGTTGAATTATTAGTTTTAGTCAATAGCGTATTCCATTTTTAATAGCAATGGTATATTCGTAAAGCAGTCTATGCGCAAACAAATTTCAATTCGGGTTGCTTGATTATCGCAGTTTATTGTCAATAAAAAATAATGTCAATAGCCTTGGGAATTCCTTGGTACCAGTAACTGACCCCCTAAGTGTCCGTGGTTTTGCAGTTTCCCATCCATTGAACGCCAGTAAAATGGAAAACTGAAGGGTGGTGTTGCTGGAATTGATCAACGGTAGGATGGCCCCAAGATGCCTGCATGGAAGGATTGACAAAAGCTTTAAAAAAAAACATTTTAGCCCTAGCTGAGTTTTTCAGCTGTAAAATTAAATATTTAAATTCCTGATTTTCATCCCACGTTAATTTATATCTGAATTTCACAAACTAGCTTAAATTCATTGTAAGATGGCATTTTAGTGTGGCTCGCGTCCGTCTTCTTAGCTCTCCCAAGCGGCCTCTCTCAATCTAATATCAAATTTTACTTCTGAACCTTTCATCCAAATGATTTATCGAAGGCGGATTTAATGCTGCACTAGGTATAGTGCGCGGTACATACAGGACCGCTTGTTTAGTGGTGCTGAGCCTGAACCTACAAAGCACCGAAATCAGCAATTAACGTATGGCCACTATATGCGCAGAAACGAGTGGATGGTGAATAAAGCAACAAAATTGGGGATTGTGCTCTAAAAGTGTTCGTTTTTATTGCCTAACATTAAGATAAGTATTTCGAAAAAAAAAAATTATGATACTAAAAAGAAGAAAAAGATGAAGAAACGGAAAAAAAGTTATTCTGCCAAATGTGGGTATTTATACCGTATCGAATCTCCTAAGGGTACATTCTATACGAAAATTTCGCAACAAATCTTATTTTCTTCGAGGATAAGCAGTCCATGCCAGTACCCACGACACACTGCTCGACCCGCCCAGAATTTGAATTCAATGTTTTGTTATTCCATTACTTTTAAGAAGGAAATATCGACATCGGGTTGATCATGTTTGAGGGGTAAAATCATTTTAAAGGTCTAGATTTGGACAGATCAGTTGCTTTGCAAGATATTTAGACACAATTATGTAACTATAGGATATTTTCAAGCCCGTATAGAATATCTTTAGGGGATGGTATTTCGATTAAACCACGTGTACGGTACGTTAAAAGGATGCGATGGTGCTTTTACCCTCCCCCCCTCCCCTTTACACCAAGCGGCGACCTTTGCCCCTCCCTTGTGCTGCCAATATTATCGGTGAATAACTTAACCAGGACGCTCAATAGTCGCCTAAACCAGAAAATTATTTCTCTGTGTAACTGCTCCAGAGACCTTGGTGCTCCTTCTGAACTTGGACGAATCCCTTTCTTTTAGACGTAAGTGACTTGGCCAAGTTGATTTTGTGTCGTTAAAGCTAAGTAACAGGTGAAATAACATTACAATGTTTATCTCGTCTTCCACCGGGAGCATGAGTTAGATTTGGACCCATGGATCCAAGGATTAGGCAAACTCACAGGCCCATATGGGGTATAGTTCAAACTGCCTTGAATCCAACTTTTAAACTTTGGTAATGAAGACGTTCTTTTGTGCATCGATTCGCATCTGATACCCACTAACACGACTCCCAGGGATTGGTAAATGTGAATTGCACACAAATAAGCCAACCATCCAATTCTAGGCTCTTGGAGACTAATTCGTTTCAACTCCATCCATTAGAGTCTTATTAACAAGTAAAACCGTTTCTGGTAGTCAACGTGACGCGTAACAAACACATTAAGTGTGCTTTTCGCATTTATTTCTTTTCTTCTTTCTTTCTTTCGTTCTTTTTGATAAAAAGTGTGTTCCCTTTTAGTTTATTGGCGACTGATCCGTTTTTCACACATTTTTTTTCAAATTCATTTGGCAGATGTGAAAAATCTGCAAAATTGTTCTGTCAACAACAACAAGAATTGTTTTTACATGTACTAGTAATATGCGCATCAAAGAAGTCGCCGTGGTGCTTACTACATGCACACGTAGATACGGTGCAGCAAATTTATGGCGAATCTTTGTAACTCATTCACTATCTCACTTTGCGCAAACGATGAATTTGTGATGAAGAAAATTACATGTAACTATTTTTTTGTCTGAACTAAATTTTAAATATAAATTGTTTTTCTATTCATATTGCATTAAAAGTGTTGCAGGACATATAACTGATCGTCGAGCAAAGTCATCTACAAGAAGGGAAATGTGGGTTTATTATACATTTACAAGTTATCGCTATAGACAGATAAATCACCGCCCTTTGATTAGCTGAATGAAATATTTAAAGTACCACTTTCCCTTGGTTATTGTAGAAACTGCATCTTTGTTGTCAAAATACCTCCCCACCCTATTAGTGATCTTTTGAATGAAGTAATTTTAAATTGCATGGTACTTATGTCCTCCTAAACCAGTACTTAATTAAGGATATAGGCCTTTTCTTTTAAACTAAAAACGGAGGATTAATCAATTGGATGAGAAACAATGGCGTTGAAGACTAGAAGAATCAATTTCGCCCAGAGGTGATTGACGCAATAGTCCGGAAGTTTTCACCATTAATCTATAAATGTCCTTTCTATCCCCGCCATATTGAGTTAAGAGTGCAAGTGCGAACATCTTCACCCGTTCAGGAAGTAGTATTTCAAGCGTCTTTAGTCTGAAAGCTCCAACGACCATGTAAGACAGCATCTACAGAAAAAAAGACGTTACAGGCATAGGCGTAGGAGTGGAGGAGGGGGGGAGTCTATGTTGAAGTTAAGCCTCTCCACTTTCTTCCACCACGTCAGCCATAAGCGCGAATAGCAGGAGCAACAAAGAGGACCCCCTCTCCCGTCGCATTTTTTCTTTTTCTTTTATGTCCCGATGCAAGTAAAATTGCTTCCGGATAGAGCATGGGAACATCTAGGTGCTTGAGAACCTATTAGTTTCACAAGAACGGAAGGCGTAAAAAAAGTTGAATTGATTAACTTACGTCGATGAGTTTACGTATTTTGCAATAAATAAATAAATAAATAAATAAATAAATAAATAAATTGGCCAAAAACCAAGAAATACCTTAGTCCTAAATGTCGATCCGCTTTTTTTCCCTATGAAGAAATTATTCATGTAACAAGACATTTAATTTGTCATTTGGTATCCTATAGATTTTCGGTTTGATGAGATGAAACTAATGACGCCACAACCACAATTTAATTAACAGACAAAGTGCTAAAATGCTTAAGCGAGCTAAGAATACACAAAGTGCGTGATTAGCACTCTCTTCCAGAGGCCACATGGGTAATGACGTCATTTTTGTGCAAAAAGATTCTCGCTGGACAGTACACAAGTACACAAGTACACAAATGTTCACAGCTTAAAAACCAGAGAAATTTCCGGGAACATGAAGTGAAAAAATCACTCTGTGACCCCGATAAAGGGTACGTGACAAGCGCGTGGTGTTTTCCAATCATTTACCTAGGTCTCCGACGGCGCACATCGCCTGGGTAAAAAGCATTGTTGTGTTGGACAATCAGAGTTATGTAACAGTTATAGTTTGACGTCTGTCTAAGCGTCTGATCTTCTTTTTCACTGCATGTTACAGCAATGATTTAGCATTTATTGCCAGTGATATGCAAAGCTTGAAGTATTGTATGTCAGTTTTGCTAGCATGAGCAAAGCACACTATATCTTCAACGGATCACTCAATTAATATCAGATTACGTTTGCGCTGAATGGAAGTGGTTTGATTAGCTTTGAGAAATTGCTCATTTCGTTTTTTGGCTTGAATTCTGTTACTCGTGTCAACATGTTATCCTTACTCTTCCCTTTTCTTACCCCTGAAAGGAATCTTTCCCTTTTTTCTCTCTGTCGCTCGGTATATTTTAAGCAGGATAATATCGTTCCTTTTAATTCCTCAGAGGCATACATCTACATTCATTTTGTTTCGTTCTGACTTCTTTAACGTGGTTCGTCACAGAATGTTCCCTTTTTCTGTATTTTTTTCTACACAAATGATACGGAGGCGTATTTACATACCATTTAGTTACCTTATTACTGGTGCCATTTATGCCAACACATCAAACCGATGCCCCTAGGGTCAAGTTGGTGACATATAATAAAATTTGCAAAAAAGAATTGGACCAACCATTTTTTTTTCAGATTAAAAACAAACTGTCTCAGGTACTTTGGAAATCACACAAGTACCTAAATCATTGTGGGGTTACAATTATATTCACCCTTTTTTAAATGTGACTCTCTAGATCTCTCTTTCGTTCCAGTGAAACGAGATTTTTGATAAAAATTTCTTTCAACCTTTTCGTATAGAATTAATTTCTGATGTTCTCTTTACCGCCCTAAGTGTGTTGTTAGATGAAAACTGAAACCAGAAAAAAAATTAAAGACATTTTACGGAGAGACGTTTGCACGACTCTGCCTTTTTATTAAGTTGTCGTTGACAAAGCTTTCGAGACAAAACACAAAATGCCGCAGAGTATGGTAACTGAGTCTTGAACAGGGTGTAATAGGACACTAGGAGAAAAAGACAAAGATGCATCACCTTAACAATAAAAAGCTAAAAGCCAAATAATCGAAAAGGATAAGAATGTGGTTTTAAACATGATAACTCTCATTCCGATGACGCAAATTAACAAGATAAAATGTACGTGATTCTACAACAAAAAAGACTATGGATTCACTTATCGGTTTACTTTGCTGTTTAAAAAGGCACCAGACGATACACTGTAACTTAAACGGTATGGAATTTGTTGATGAAAAAACTTTTCAAGAAATAGATATTCAGCTCCGTGGGCTTGGCGTCATTGGCTTTATGCTTATGTTCAGTTGGCGGGCTTGAAATAACTACATGTTTGATCTGCAATCTGCGCATGGCACGAAGCTGGTATTGTCCAATTGACTAGCCCCTTGCGTATATATAGTCTTAATGTACTTCGAGTTCATCAAACAAATTTTTGCGTTGAAGTGATCCTGCGAGCGCAGTGATATCAGTCCCCCGCATCTTATCAGGAGCTTATCTCAGGATTAAATACACGCTGAGAGCGGGGGCAATCGATTAACAAGGATACTTCCCTGCTTATGAAATATTAATTCTTGCACAGCTTTGCGAGCGCATGAACTGACAGAGTAATTGCTTATGTCGAAAGTAAAAGTTGATGCACATGGGCAGTTAAGACATAGTTAGAAGAGCTTTTGACAGGAAAAGAATTGCTTCCAGTCGCTTAACAGGAATTAGCAGGAGCTTCTCCTTTAAATACCCTCACGAATTTATTGTAATTAGTTCGACCAGGGGGGATATAGATACAAACGCTAATCCTAGAGGATACCTTCTGCATTTGGAAGAGAGAACCCATTTCTGCTATCACAGAATTTTCGCAGTATTGGCATCAAGTGGAAAAAGCTTTTCCAGTTAAAACTAGTGCTTCAATACTTTTTCAATAGGTTTTTAGCAAATGTACATTAATGGACACGGAGCCATGAGGCGGCTCAAACTTACACCGTACGTCTTACTTTGTGTTCTGTGCTACATTCTTTATACAGAAGGTAAGTGATTTGGGCATATCCGTTGTCATAATTGGAGTTAATCCTGATGGAACTTGTTCCCTAATGAAACCAATTGAAATGGCATAGAGATCCATTTTTAAATTGAAGTAAAATGGTTTAGAGACAATGTTTTGATTTTGATTTAACGTGATTTTTGCATTAGTAGAAAAATATCAACAACCTAATAAAAATATTATGATGCATTTCGGCCATTCAATGCATTTAAAGGTATACGCGAATATAAGGAACAAAATGTAATTAATTATCTGCAGATCGTTTAAGTTTTAACAAGGAGAGGTGGTCAACTGTACCAAACAAAGCTAACAATAACGGTTTCACTTGTGCGAGATTTGCTCATAAATATCGTTTCTGAAACTTTGAATTGGGTAATCAAGGTTAAGTTACACAGATTTTAGTGACAAACTGAAAAATTGCTGTCTCGCTCAATGCTGCTCTGTTGCTTATCGTCGTTATTGAAAATTGGCACTCAAGATAGAATCCCAGACCTTGCAATCAAGAACAAAAACTATTGACTTTTTTTTCTCTTGCGTAACGTAACCTGTTAACTTTATTACTTTGGGGTGCTTTCAGAACAGGAAATGTGTCGGAAACGCGGTGATACTGGTCGATATTTTAAACCTATCCGTAGTTTAAGTAAACAGCTTTAGGGCAAATGAAGACGTTTTTATCTAAGATAGATATTAAAATAGTATTTGGGGGCCAAGGTTAATTCATTGAAGGGACCTGATCATTCAAGAAATCTCGAATTTCTTGTTGTCTTTCACTATGGTGAAAAAGTTCTCATCGGTAAGATCATATAATGTTTTTGAAACATACTCATAACCTTTAAGTATATGCGTGGCATGTGACATGTAGCAGAGTGTCAAATCTACTTTCATTTTCTTCTCGAGTCTGTTTTTTATATCACTTTTAAAATAAAAAAAAATGATTTTTTGAAAAGTTGTGTATAAAAAAGCCATTCCTGGTAATGCTTCACTCGATAAATAAAAACAGGCATCTAACCACATGGTTTTATCCAACTTTTAGTTCCATTGATATTGCAATTATGACAGAAACTCTCGTCAGACAGGTGTGAGAATACGTATACAGAGTTTGTTGCAAAAAAGTGAGCACGAACGAAGAAAAACAATGTGCAAAATTCGTGTTATGCATAAAACATTTGACGTACCTTTCATGGTGATATATTTGAAAACGGTTTCTATTCCAAGCATTGTGGCATAATTTTCTGCATAAAATTTCGAATGGAAGAAAGAGAAAAAAAAGTTCATAAAGAATTTTTCTGCTGCACAGTAGCTTCCACAGAATGTCGAGTGTCCTAAAGTGGGAATGTATTGGATTATTAAAAAAAAGAAGCGTTATTTTCTTTAAAGGGTACTTTTGTCATATTGCCCATTTATTTGTTAACTTTAAATTGCTCTTTCAATGCAAAATAAATTAACATTATCAACTGTGTGGTTTAAAGTTTCGCTGTTTTCTTTACAACTTGCTATACTTAAATTTCATGTACAAAGTGGACCCCCTGGACACCATTAAACAGCTAGCACCATCACGTCAGAGTGAAATTTGAACCCCAAATGACCCACAATGAGGGAGGGGGATCACGTTTCATATTCCAGTAATATGCCCTTTTTTCCTTTTAGTGGCAAGCGTTTGCAGTTATTACCCTGAATGATATTAGTTTTGTGCTAAAACTCAGAAAAATCTAAAAATCACTAGGGGATTATAGGCCGTTAACCCATTAGTGAAAAATCTTGAGTGGCGCTCCGTGAAAGGATAGCGAGAAAGTTTTTAAAGTCTCGCCTTATTGATTTACTGGATTTGCCCCTGCTAACTCACTGGTGAAAGTTTTATCAGTTTGATTATCGGGAGTGCATCTTCTATAGAATTAATAATAACGGTAAGACATTCTTGGTCTTATATATATGTCCAAGTCAAGTGGACGGAAATGCAGAGGTTTGAGGGGAAGAGACACAAACGTTCACGCACAAACTGCGAACTAACGCTTGTTTTGACTACTCACTCAAGTTTCGTCTACACGTATGCAACGTTGTCTGTTACAAGAAAATTGAAAAATGGTTTATTGTTGGTTTATTAAAAGTGAAAATCTGTGAGGATTTTATTTTTATGAGAGCAAAACAATTTATGTTTTGCATAAGAGGGGGATGGAACGATGTTATGGAACTTTGAGAAAGAACAGACGAATAGTAAAAGGTATACAATAAGTGCACAGATATATATAACGAAATTTATCCCATGCATGTGTTCTAGTTCAAGTGAAATATTTTAGGCCATGATGTATTCTTATTCAAGTCATTTTGATGCATTAATCATTGTTTAATCGATAGTTTGGAATGCATTTGCATAGTATTGTTATTTCTTTGTTGACCACCATTAACCGTGACTAAAATGCGTTGAAAATGAAATTGATTATCAATATACCTGTTGGGCCATGTGGATAATGAAAGCAGTGTAATATTCCAAAATACTAGAAGCAAGGTTCAGAAGTTTACTTCCACCACAACTAGAGATGTTTTTAATTGAAATGTTAACAGGTGTCAAGCGCTTTGAAACATTTCCTTTTGATATCACAGGGGCCACTAAAAAAGTATACAAAATTGAAGAAGATACAATAATTCTGTAAGAGACTACTAACGGCTCCTGTGGTCAAGGGTAATTCTGTAATAGTGCGCGTGTTTTTTTTCTTTTTTTCTTTTCTTTTTGTGTGTGTGTGTGTGTGTGTGTGTTTGTTTGTTTCAAAAAGTTGTTCATATTTCAGCGGACAACACATTTCATCGACATTGGATGAAGTAAAATGATTTTTCATAATATCGCAACCTATCCTGAGATAGGGTGTTTTCATCAGAAGAGTTCACGAAATTTTGAATCGATTACAATATTCACAGCATGATGTTATTCTAGGTTGGCAGTATTGTTAGCAGTCTCAAGGATGGCAATTGTGGGTGGCAAATGATTATTCTAAGTAAGCAAATAAAAATACCCATTAATTATGCATCCAATCGATCTTTTTCCGAGTGACGACGTAAGAAGCTTAAAAAAGGTCATTGTAACGACCAATGAAAGTCAATCTTAATTGTTGAGATACAGGACTTTTGATGAGACGGAAAGGATCGTAGAAATAATACCACTTTGTATTTTCTATTTTTGTCTACGATGTCGGCAGAATTAAAGTTGCTTTTATGAATATCTCTCGTTAAGAGTGTCTCTTGACACGTGGATTAACTGTGTCTAATTTTGGTCAAATCATTAGATGAAAGGAGGTCGTAACCTTAACATTTTATCTTGCCAATTAATGATATTCCAACATGCTCACGTGCTGACTGAAATAAATGTTCCTACTTGTTCCCAAGCTAAACAATTACTAGTTATACTTCAACTTCCACTGTTTTCTCGAGTAGGATAGCAACTGCACTTCAATCATCAAGCGCCGGTGGCGTACTGATTGGCAGTGATAGACAGTGATAGACCTTTCATTAATGAGATTATATGGTGATAAACCTGCGCTTTATTACAGGGCGGGATACAATAGTCTTATTGGACGTCACACATCAAAATTGCCGCCTTGAGAAGAAGCAAGGATAATACCTTCCGAGTCTAACCCTGGGGCTTTGATTAAAGTATGCAGTTGAAATACATTTTCCGCCAAAATAGTAGGAATAAAGATTTAATACTGGCTTTGTTAAAAATCCTTGGCACACAACTCGCGTGATTCTAGAATGTTTACCACTTCACAATGACTAAAATCATATCAAATTTGTCGCCTTTATTTTTGCATTGTGGAATGATATTATTGATAATAGAGAATTAAACAAACAATTAATAATAATAATAATAATAATAATAATAATAATAATAATAATAATAAAAACGTGCACACACAGACACACATGAATAAATAACCTAATGACATAAAAATGATGTACTTGTTAATCATGGAAATATTCTTGAAACGTTCTTTGATTTAACCACTTGCCGTTTGGGGTCGTTTGTTGGCATTTTTTATTTCATGTTTGCCTTGGAACAACCAAGAAATATTTGTGAATGTAATGGTCGTTTTGTTAGATCATCTCTCAAATTAAAGGGACCGTATGGGGGCTCGTCATAATTGTTGAAGCTCCCTCGGTTGTCTGTAATGATATGTTCCACGTCTAGTTGCATCCCTTTAAGAAATGAAATAACCGTCTCTTTCTTATTACGAAATGAAAACGTAAGAGGACAAACAGGCAAATTAGGAGGAATATGGTCTTAAAACTGTATGTTTATACGGTGTCTTTTAGCTTTGTAGTCGACAGATAAATAGTCGATAGATTTCAGAAATAGTTGATGTTGCTATTTTTTTACCGTATACAATTCACCTAGTAACTTCCACGCTTTATAGTATTCACAGGTAATTCAATGAATCAATTTGCTTTTGATCCTTTTGACACTTCTCACACATTTCAAATAAAGATAATCATAAGACATATAGTGCATGCATATAAAGTGAAAAACGAAACGCACCTTTGGGATGCCTATGATACATTTTAGAGCTGATTCTTAGGACGATGAGGTATCCGGTAGGTTATGAGCTATTCCATGCATTCTTTTGATCCCCAGACACGGGGCACGCACAGTTCAGATAGCCAGCGAGGTGATAAGTTGATTAAACGCTATTACTTACATGCAGAGGATTTTACAATACGTATGCAGACTAAGACTGTAAAGTGCATGGCGCTGTTAGCAAAGTTAGCTTAGAAAGTGACCCCTGGCAAGAAACGTGTGCTCATCCAGTTTGAATTATGACAAATATTTGTCTTTGTAATTTAATTGGCTAGGCTTAGATTGGAACATAGTTTGGATGATCATATAGTTGAATCTCAGGAGTGGAGGGAAAATGTTTCAAGTATGAGTATAGTAGCCATGAGTAACAAATGGCACACTAATTAATATTTCACATTAGTAAGCTTAAAAGATAACAGGCAGGACAAATGCTACAATTAAGATGTTGAATGATTAAATACATTGGCTCCAAAAAATCGATTCCATTTAAGAAAACCATTATTGAAGTGTTTCAGACAGCATAAAGCTTGCATGTTTCTTTAACGGATGATAACCTGAGGGCGAATGGCATATTCGTTTACAAAATTACTATACGCTTGAGACCGCGCCAGACACCAAAGGACGTTGTATCTTATGCTATATTCCGTTTCGTGCAACATGTCAATATATGAGTAGGATTTGAGGTGCTTGTTGTACCATTATTGCCAGTTTTCTAATCCACTTATCTGTATCAATTCAAAAACTGAAGTGCATGAATGGGTTGAGGAAACCCCGTTCACAGACTGCGTCTTGCTATATAGGTCTGGTAGTACGACGTTAAAAAAACAGATGCCAGATTAAGATTCTGAAGGGTTGCTTAGTGTTTTACATGGAGTAGAAACACAGGTATTGTCTGCCACTATATATGCATGCTTACAGATGGAGGAATGATGTAAATCAGTTGCGTTTTCTTCCAATTTACAATTATAATTCATCATAACGGTGAGTTAGCATCTGTCTGGAATCCAGTGCTTACAAGATCAGATCTCTGTTATGTAAGATATGTGTTGCCAGAGATAATGGGCTGATTTGTTTTAATTAAAAACAAAATCATATTACAGACAGGAATTATGCATATGTAGTTCTGCCCATTGCATGCCTTTTGAACGACCTTGCCACGTTATTAAGAAGATGCTTATTTTAAAATAAATTATTTCTTAAAACGAGACTAGCGCCAAACTAAAATTACGACAAGAACCATACATGCGATATTGGCTTTGGGTTCCATGCTCTTTATAAAAAGATGGCCGTGTTTATATTCCGAGAGAGCCCGAAAGAGTTTTGTGTCCCCTGGTCCAGTCTCTGTAACATATCGATTAGTTTATAAGTGATCCATCGCAGCAGCATATATCATTTAAGACTTAAGCAACGGTGACTATTTGCTAATGGCAATTATTACCAGGGGACTATCAATTATTAAGGCGGTAACCAATATACTATATCACAAACAAAAAGGAAATTGAGGGAAAACTTATTTGGTACTTTTTGATACAAAGAATTACGACCAATAATTCTTGGTGAACTGTCTAAAGGGTGAAACAACCATGATACCATTTGATATGATCAAAACTGTAAACCAAGAAAGTTACGTCGTAATTTTTTTACCAAAAAGGTATCAAACCGTTTTTGTGTGTGTGTGTGTGTTTTCTAACGGTGCATTAACACATATAATTTCAAAAGGAGACTCTTTTTTCATCTACATGTGATCCTACATGATATATTTAAAATGGATATGGACATTTTATTAGAAAGTATCATAAAACTTGACGTTTACCTCGGGGGTACAAAGATAAAAATAATAAAAAAAGTTCTTATTTAAATTTTAAAATCAAGCGCATACAACTTGCCCTTCATGTAGGTATACATGTATTTTTCTACAGAAAATGCGACGCTTAGTTTTATTTAGGAAATATTCATTTCACAGTTCCAAATGATGAATAATAAAGTTTACCTAAAATACGTCTGTTGGGCAGTCTTTCCACTTTCACATGACAGCATTTTGCCAAATTTAACTTAAAAACACTTGGCAGTCAGCTGGTCCTGGTTATTTCTTTCTTTCTTTATTTATTTTTGGTATTGCGGATTATAACGTGGGAATTGTTACCTTGGTGAAAAGAAAACCTGAAAAGGGCGCACGATGTTATCTTTTGCCTAAAAAGCATTTTTCTATTTTCAACCCCTAATCTTATAATGAATACGTCAACAATAATGAATACGTCAACAAAATGAAGATAATTACCTTTTAATGTTTACATATCTTTTGCAGAAAGAGTTCTTGTGATAGTTTTAAGAGAAAACTGCACTATTTTTATCCCTCCCATCCCGCGAAGTACAAGTTTCATTAAAGGCATCACTGGCAAACGCAATATGTACATGCAGATTGGTTGACATTTTGCCAGTTAATTATTGACTAATGTTCTTATCGACCAAATATCTGTCCCTTCTTTTTTTCTCACGCTTAAATTAAATCTCAATTAGAACATGCGACCGTCGAACATGACCTCTATCCACTGTGTTGTGGTGAAAGTGCTCAGAGGGCGCTTAGAAAAGAACTTTTTTGTAGATATTTAACCAAGGTGTCCTAATGCCTTTACACCTTTATTGGGTTGCTTCCCTTGGGCAGGAGACTGTTTATCTAAGCAGGCGCAGGAAGACGGACTAAACAAAGTTAACTTCCGCACGGCATGCATACAAGAATCTACATATCTCTGTACCTTCCTTTACCTTAAAAGCTAAATCAAACTAAATAAATGCCATGCTTTGTTAATACAAAAAGCACAAAGATAATCCAACTTAAACTTGAGGTATTTCCGAGAATCTATGTAATAAAATTACTCACACAGAAATGGCGACAAATCATTATACGCCACTGCTTTACAGTTAAGAATGTTAAAACACATTATCAGCTCTCTTTTATGTAGTACAGCGCACAAAAAGGCTAAAAAGTGTTATGTCTTATGGTGCGTGAACAAAATCACAAACCACTCTGAAATCACTTAAGTCGATTAATTTCGGCTCTAACACTAAGTAACAGTTTTAACCACACATACCGAGGTATGGCCTGGTACTTAGAAAGTCGAGGATATGAAAAAGATTTAAACCAGGAGTGCAGTCAACAAATCAACACTTTTCAGTGTTTTGAATTCACACAGTAAAATGTAAGGGTAAACATAATTATTAGTTCATATCTTTTATGTTTCAAAATAGTAGGTATCTTAAATCTTACTGTTTGTGAGTTATTATTATTAATATTATGATTGTTATTCATGTACGGAAGGATAATTTTACTGTTCTATTGTCTTTTTAATACTTTCTGGCGGATTCTGTCCGTTTCTCAATATTATGGCAGTTTTGTTATTGCGACATAAAAGCACCTTTTGTTGAAAAATTGGATACAACCCAAAAGTTCCGTTTAATTGACAAATTCCCTTGTTGACGTCATTTCTATCCAAAATATTTTATTCCCCAAGAGTGCAGGTATTTCAATATATAGGCCTATATATATATATATATTCTCGGTCATAAAGAAAACGTATTCCTTAGTTGGATGTACTGAGAGACATCTAACAGGACGCCTCTAGACCATGCCCACGGGAAGAAAATTATAGAGAAAAATTAAGAGATGGAACAACTAATGCATCGTGTGTCCGCCTTGAGACAGCGCTTTATCTGATGTTATTAAATGTACTCAACTTTTATTCATTGTGCCATGTTCATTGACCGGTAAAACACTTTTCATTGGTGCCTTCTCCCAATAGATACTTGACGGAGGCGTATTGAAATGACCGCGATCTAATGAGTGGCAACAGACGGATAAACCAATAGAAGATAATGAGGAAGTGTCAGTGTTGGAAAATGTTTGAAGTCGACAGATTTAGCTCTAGATCCGTGTTTATCTCCGAGGTGTTTTGCATAAATTATGTGCTTCCCCCAGTTGCTGATACTCCAAATACTCGTGAATTAATACATGTATTTTATGATATTTAGTCTTGGTACGTTCGTATAATGACTTTCGTTTCTGATCAAAACTTTTTGGCATACTCTAGGAAGGAGAGTAAATGATTTTACTTCTCGATATTATAACTAGTGAATCCTGGTATTCTTTTAAAACTTTTCTCTCTATGTTACAGCCTTCCCATATTCAGAAACGCACAAGCGCCTGTCGTTGCGACAACAGAAACTTGTCAAAGGACTTGTATGTGTAATCAAGGACATTCCATTCCAGAGTTGTTTGCAGGGTAAGTTTTCTTGATGTATTCTTGTGTCCCTAAAAGATACGAAAATGTTTCGTTAAATGTCATCTTCACACGATGGGGTCTATTGATTTTGTAACTGGTAGTTGGGGAAAACGTTGATGAAATAGAAATGACGGAAAATTAAAACCCGAATTGCCCTTACTCAAACGATTACTTAGTGGCCTGTTAGATCCTGTTATGTCTATGGAAGGATCATTTCGGCTATTGTATATGATCCAGGTATCGACCTAAGATTTACTGACAACAGATTTAATTTGATTTCCCCCTATTAAGGATCAGCTGGAATCAAGCGTGAATCTCTTAACATCTTCTAAGATTGGCCTGAAATAAAGGACTAGATTCTTCAAGCGAACATAACTGATATCTGACATGGCCAATTGGCTATTAATCGGACTATTTACAATGTCCTTGGTCTACGTAAGTTATATAAAGATATTAACGAGTTACTGACTAAAGTTTTGATTTTCTTTTCAGATGATGAAATCAGCAGGATAGCAGACATTGTCATAAGGAAAGTACAAAGCTCGGATGATATCAGCAGGTATATCATATACACAGTTGGAGCATTAATTTTGATTCCTCAGTCATGAGATATTTAGATGGTATTTCGCTTTTAAAGCTACATTTTATTACTTGGCATAAGTGGTAACACGAGTCATTTTGAGCATGTATTTTAGTTTCAAAATTTAAAATGGGAACCTAAAAAGAGAATAGGAAGAGAACAGGAATGAGAAATACAATGAGCTGCCACTTGTAGGATTTAGCATATTACCTGTAAAACACTAACAACATTGGTTAAATCATACGTAAAACGGGGCTAATATCCCTTAAACACAACAATTCCCAGACTACTTTCAAACCACATTTTCTTCAGCATTGCTGCCGAAACTGCCGACATGATTCAACAGTCCGATGTGTCAGATAGTGACACATATGATAGAAGAAAGAAGGTTATGAACGACTGGTAGTTCATTGTGTACGTTTCCGATATGTGCATGTTTGATATTGTGGAACTTGTTTATACTTGGCATGACGTCACTAGAAACTGTGAAGCACAGTGGTCAGTGTCGTGTGTCTTTTTTGAATCAACGTCACACTTATATTAGCAGCATGATATACACGTTTCCGACTACTGCACGAGACACTTTGCACGCATCTCTACGTCCTCAAAATCTTTTCTTACTATATGCTTGCACCAATTAAAAATGCGCACCTCCAGTGTTTGCTGACCAGAGGTCACTTTTGGAATGTGTTACCACTTTTTTCAATCAATATAAAAGATAATGCACGTTTGGAAAGCGAAACACAAGCACGTGTGTTTGGCTTCTACTGGAGACATTTATCAAAGGGAGAACCATGCTCCTTTATGAGCTTACTGGTTGTCATCGCACTTGACGTTAAACACTAAGCAAATTTTGTTACAAAATGCCCAGCTTGGCATGATAAATATTACATTTTTTTTCCTTTTTATTGCCTTTATGTCTTACACTTGAAAAAAAGGCAAAAACATGTGTCCGTCTCTCCAAAGGTAAAAACCATCCCATATCGGCAGTTGAATTATTCCATCAGCCTGGATGGCTATGACGTGTAGTCTATATATCAAGATCTCGAGTTATGCATGAATGTTGTTTTCGGTGTCAATGATGGCTGTTTACTAACATATATCTCAAAATATCGTTAATAGTTAAATATGAAAACAAATCAAAATTAGTATATAAATAATGTTGTTTATTTCAGAGAATTACGCCAGTTATAGAAGATATGATACATTAAAATTTGTCGTGGCTGTCTGTTTATGAAAAAAATTCTACGTCGTGCATATAAGGCAACAAACAGGCCTTCCCAACTACCAGACTCGGCACCTAAGGATCCTGAATTAACCGGTATATCGGACCACGCTACCCGTTTTCAAGGTGTGTGTCAGATCGCATTTCGGAGTATCATACCCCAGAACAAATTTTGTAGCACGACTGCGGGCTCATCCACGCTCGGCTGAACAACCTTAAACTGTACTCTTACTTTAGAGTACTCTATTTTATTGTCTCTATGGGGATATATGGGGACTTTACGACATTCGGTTTGAATGTTTTAACCACTTTTGATAGGGCTTTTTTGCATTGCATTAGATTAATGTGGCAGTCTAAGGTGCATCTAGGTGGCTTTCAAATTTATGCACCCGGTTTTAAAATCATATGGCGATTTTACGACAATCGTTTACTATCAAGGTGACAGCCGAGCATGCCAGGGCTCATCCTGTCGGTGTTCTGGCTGATACTCCGAAATGCGATCTGACACACACCTTGAAAACGGGTAGTGTGGTCCGATATACCGGTTAATTCAGGATTCTTAGGTGCCGAGTCTGGTAGTTGGGTAGGCCTGACAAACATAGTGTCCTTTGTTCCCAGATGTTAACCATATCTCCCCTCGAGCCGCAAACGTACATCTCTTTTACATAAGCTCACTCACCGCTCCTTCATATTAACTTGGTAATTTTGAAATTTCTCTTTTCAGTTCCCAATTGGAGGATTTCCTCTTATCCACGGAAATGCGATCTAAAAAGAAGAGTGGTCGAAGTAATTTTTATGGAGACTGGTAGACTCTAAGCCTGTGGGAATTTCATTTCGTTATTTTTGCTATGAAAAGTCTTCTAAATATTCATTGAAAGATGCCAGAGATCTAAAAAAAATACACTAACTTGTACCTTAACAGAGTGGAATTGCTCCAGTTGGACTGCACAATGATGCATCACAGTGCGTTTACATGATGTATGGAAAGTTGACTACAATATTTTATACGGAGACCACAAAATAATTCTGGAAATTGCAATGTATTTACGTGTTGATTGCAAATATGTTTCTTTAGCTTACGGACAGCTTGCATTGCGTTCATTTTTTAACCATTCCAAATTCCCCGCAATGTCTAGAGCAAGCCAGTGCAACATTTTGAGCAAACCTTCAGTTGACGACTCTATTTTAAATTTAGCTCTCATTGATAGCTGTTTAATATCATTCAGAAGAAAAGTTTACTGTTTTCCATGATATAGCAGTCGATTAACGACGTCCGATGTTTCTTGTAAAACCATGCAACCGAAGACACAATGACTATTTTACTACGAAGAAATATATATGTTCAATTTTCATAAAATGGACAATAAATGCACTGTTTGAACAATATGTTTAAAGCGTTCAATCACTTGAAAGTAAATAAAGGGGCATAAACTGGATTATTTTGGGGAATTTTGATAGCCCTTTTTCTTTATATATGACAATGATCAAAAGTAATGCCAAATTTACCATCCATTCAAAATACTGTGTTGATGTTTTTATCTGACCAGCTGATGGTTATTCTTCACTTGATTAATATAACGCTGTAACGAATAAATTCTGAATCTGATGCGGGATCACACAATGAAGCTTGAAGGGCCCTTATAGCGACCGATGCAATAGATTTCGGCGTTAATGAATGAAAT